GTCAATGGCAAATCTCATGGGTAAATTATGTGCTCATCATTGAAAATGCAGCCCCCACAACTCATATTGTCTGCTTCCCATATAAGGTTGCTGACATTTACCAAGGGCAGAAGCATTTCTGAGATCCACCTGACACCACCAAAGCTATGTTTTTAATGGTTGTTTAGAAAATGGTAAACAGACCACTCATCTTTCCTACTTAAGTTATCCATTAGGTATTTATCAAACTGCAGAATATCCCTATTAATGGAAGCGAAATGAAACGACGGTTGTCGCGATGAATAATAAGGAAGGTAAAATTAAAGGACGAAGGTGATTTGCATGAGCTGTTTAGGAAATGGACATTATAAGTGAAAGAGTGGTATATCTAACAGGTATTTGTTTATTAAGACTAGACAAATTTAGAGTGACCTCAGTCTTGTCACTTTGAACGAACTGGTACTTTTTCCACGAAACCCGTCTAGCTGCAGCATTGCTAACGAAAGGTAGGTGCAAAAATACTCAGCTTTTTCGAATATAAAGTTGCTAAATAGAAGAATGTGCTGGTGCAGTTAAGAGGGGAATAAATAAAAAAAATTGTAGTTAAGCATAAACTAAACTCTGGCAGATTTTACCAGCATGTATTTGAAAGTAGCAATCACACAGAGAATGTAAAAACGCACACATCAGATGCGGTGTCTCTGGACAAAGATGACAAAGAAAAGCAGCACTTAGGACAGACTCCCAAAAAATTTTAGGAAATACGTCTTGAACAAGGTCGGAAGAGTCGCTGCAAAATAAAGAAAAGAAGGGAGACAAAACACAAGGAAAAAAGAGAAGCCACAAAAAGTAAGAAAAAAGGTAGGGGGAGAGAGACAAAAGACAAAGAAAATATGTTCACATTTCAAAGATGTGGTTGAGCCAATTAGAGTAAAAAACTTGCAATCAGTCTACGAGGCGGCTTAGTACTTTCCTGAATAATTGCGCCTTTAAGGAGAATTTGTCTGCTATTGCCCACGTGTCGCATCAATAGGGTTCGAAACTCCCTACAAAAGTCGCGTCCTCCATCGGCCATTCTTGTGGCAGAACACACAGACACAGACACCGCTTGGGGATGTTGGAAATGCTCTTCCTGTTCCCACTTTTACCTTTGAGTTGGTTCAACTGGGCAGTGGGTTTACCGTGCTGCTTATGTAAATGATTCAGTTCCATAAATTGACCCTCTTTCTGATTGAAGCAGTGCTACTGATTACTGGCTCCCAAGCTGCCCACAAAAACATTTTGAGCGTTACACGGCACCTATGCGTTCCTTAGTGACTTATACTATCTACGTTTGTACTATGCGCTTTTAGTAAAATTTAACTGATGCACGATACTTGCATTTCCTGGTTTTTGAGCAGGAATTGAACAGGCTTAATCAACTACCCCCGCTTAGTGTGATTAATTAAACAATGCAATAACCGAGGTGTCAAAATTAGTTTCCTGTCTGACCTACAGACCGTAGTTGTGAACCTACTGATCAATGCTTATGCAGTCCCTACTGTGAGTGATGCCATTGTCTTCCTTTGGTATGGACTCGCCAAAACTCAGGCCTGGTTTACTGAGTTATTCTTTTATTTGATCTCATAACCACGGGTGGCTCATCGAGCATGCACAAATAAATGATCTTAAATTCATTTAGGTTGCTATATTTGACTCTTTGGCTTCCTAACTACTTGACGGCATGATGTATTGCTAGCTTAATCTACAACCAAGGTCTTTTGGTTGCGGCGCTCCCGATTTCCTAAACCTGTTGCCTGCTGCATTAGTGAAGGATAGTTTGTGATGGACTGCGATTCTTTACAAGAGGTCATTTTCTTTGTCTTTTGAAATGGGTCCCTATCATCTCATACTTGAATGTATAGATTTGAATAGGAATGGGGAGTAATTCTAGGTACTACAGTAAAAGTGTTGCCATACTACTTGTTGTAAGGGTCCTATATGATGTAATCCTGGGATATGTCATCTGTTTGTTCGACTATCTGAACCCTCCAATTACGTTAGAAGCAACAATTAAAACAAAACTGTTGATCAGTGTGACTGGAAATGACGCAGAGGCAGGAGATAGTAAGAGGCAGAACCCTAAAGGCCTTCTCCGCAATTTTACTTAATTAGAGGTTCTTTAAGAAACGAAAACCGCTGGCTCCACCTCATAATCGGTTGCATTGGTGTGTTTGCAAAAGTCTCAAATGATGATATGATTAGGTGATTTTAAGCCCTATTTGGTGGTTTTACATGACACAGGGAATAAAAAAATATTTCTTATCATAAGATAGATCTATGTAAAATCGGATTTTAAAGGCTATCTCTATTGGCTACCCATTAGTATAATGTCTGAAAATAGAAGCAGATGACCAATCACGCATAAAGCGCACATTTCCATGCGTAAAGAAGGCGCGAACAAAGTGGCCAAACAAAGTAGCCTCTTAGCTCTTTAAGCAGGCTAAGTTGTA